CATTCATACATACACATACTAGGGACAATTTAGACAGGAGCCAATTAACTACCAGCATGTCTTTGGAGTGTGGAAGGAAACCAGAGTACCCAGAGGAAACCCACACAGGCACAGGGAGAACATGAAAACTCCAGGCAGGTGGTGCCGTGGTTGGGATTCGAACCAGCGACCCTAGTACTGCCAGGCGGAAGTGCTAACCATTTAGCCACTGTGCTGCCCGGCACTATTTTAATTGGCATTGCTAGATATAGATGGATATGATTTATTGTACCTGGATCTCATTTATGGAAAATACCCCAAGTTCCTTAAGGATGAAAAGTGATTACAGAACATACTAGGAATTTCAGGAAGGAATCTATAGTTCTGTAGAGGTTGTGTTCAACTTTATTGGAAGATTTGTTGTTCTAGCGATACTTTGCTCGGCTTTATTAATTCTCCATCCTATACTTGGACAACATTTGCCAACCCATTATTGCCCTCAGATGAACCCCATTCTATCTTCACTAATGACACCTCTCTTAGCTTTTAAACATTTATGAAGTTATAATGGAGTTTTTAGAAACTTTTGTTTATTCTCTACAACAGCAATTGCTTTTAAGTGGTTGTTTCTTACAATGTTATAATCTATATCAGGGTTTCTCAGTCAGGGTTCCGTGGAAACCTACGGTTCTTCCACAGGTTGCTGGGGGTTCTTTGAGAAGTAAGCAATTTCTGCCTCTTAGATAAATTTCCTCTGACACCATTGATCTTTTTAGCTATCTTTAAGGGGGGAATTCTTTGCAATGACCACAAGTGTAAGGAACATTCTTCCCATTGACCATCACACCAATGTATCATGAGTTGTAGATATGGTCATTTTTTTTTTAGGAGTTCCCTGAGACCTGGAAGTTGTTTCAAGGGTTCCTCTGTGTTGAGAAAGGCTGGGCTATATATTGATGTGACTTTCAAGGCGCTCACTTCCTTATATTCTTCTTGGAAACTGGCCTGAGCCCCCTTACTCAACAGACGTTACAAGCATTACTGACTCCTTTATGAAGTCCAAATACGATTTAGTATTCCTAATCATCTGCACAAATGGAATATATAGACGTACAGATGCTCACTCCACATACCTGGGGGAAAAAAGCAAAACCCCATATTTTGGGTTTACATCAGAACACTTTATAGTGGGGAAATCTTCCAATGAGGACACTAGTTCTTGTGACTCGGATGTCACACCTGGATTCCCTCACTATGGAGGGATTTCCTCTCTCTTCATGTTTTGGCTATGGGACAGGTAGTAAAGGGAAATCTCTCCTATGTGATTCAGATAGAAAAAAAAATACAGGGGTCATAAAAGCTTTCTTACCTTATCCAAAAAGAAAAGTTTTGCCTTTTTAGTTACTTTTTAAAGGCTTAAAGGCCCCACGTAAATGAATGAAAGCTGTGCTGGAGTTAATGGAAAAAGATGATATAATCATACTTCCAGAGGCACATGTCCCTCGTCTTCTACCCCAGCTTACCACAGCAGATACTAAAACTAAGGGAGCTTCTCTTATTAGAAATACACCTCAATAATCTTTATTATTTTGCATCTTAGATATGTGGATGAAGTATAATAAACTTTTATAAAAGCACCATCCCTATAGAGCACGCGTGTCAAGCTGGCAGCCCTCTAGCTGTTGCCAAACTACAAGTCCCATGAGGCATTGCAAGATTGACAGTTACAAGCATGACTCCCAAAGGCAGAGGCATGATGGGGCTTGTAGTTTCGCAACAGCTGGAAGGCCACCAGTTTGACACCCCTGCTATAGAGAGTACAAAAAATAGATTATTCCCTCGCCCCACTATTGGAATACAAGAAAAGGCACTTTGTATGTATGTGCCATAATAGGAAACCTAAGCAATATAAAAGATACAATTCTGTATTACAAAAAATAAAAATCACAGTACAAGAATATGTATAAAACCATCATAACTGGAGCCATATACAATGTATCATCGGACAGGAAAGAAACATTATGAAATTCAGAAAATTTTGTTTGATTCTGTCTGGGCGTATTATGAGAAGGCGTATAGGATCAACGCGTTTTTGTTAACACGGCTTCATCAGGATCCATGCCAGCAGAAAGGAACACAATAGCTTACCACAACTATGAAAATGGAAAGAGGGTAATCGGGTCCAAGGGAAATATGAAAATAGCCATCTACACAACCACGAGGCTTCAGAAAATGGTCTGCTTATAAACCAAATATGTAGAAAAAAAAACATTCCTACTAAGCCAGAAAATAGAAAACTAAGACCAAAGTAACAAGGGTCCCACTCTTCCAAAAAGCCACCAACCATGGTGATACATTGTATATGGCTCCACTTATGATGGTTTTTATACATATTCTTGTAATGTTGTGTTTATTTTTTGTAATAAAGATTTGTATTTTTTGTATTAGTTATGTTTCCTATTATGGCAAATTCAAAGTCCATTTTCTTGTATTCCCATCTCTCCCATAGTGGGGAGAGGGAATAATCTATTATTATTTTTTTATATTTTTGCAGCTCAACTTAGCCAATTTAGTCCTTGGAATGTATTTTCATTTTCCACTTTGAATTTCATATGATCCACTCTATATCAATGCAGCTGCTGCTGTGGGGCTCTCAACCATCAGAATACATATCTGCAGGTGCAAATAAATAATGTGGTTCTCTTCATCCCTCTGGCTTAAATATATACTAGTGAATGGGCACTCTATTCTACAACCCTTTTTTGTCAACTCAGAATTCTCAATGGCATACCAAGAGTCAGCATTTCATTGATGGTGTATACAAAAGATCTGCTGCATTAAAGGCCTTTGGCAGGGGGAAGAGATTGATCTCTTTATACTTGCTACAGAAAACTAGAGGGGGCACCTCGGCGGGAGCTGCTTAGATACCACCAGCTCAAATACTTTGTCTCTCCTAACCTAGAAAAACTGCCAGATTTGTCCCTAAAACCCTTTTAAACTATCTGCAACACAATGCCTAGAGCAAAGGAGCTCATCTCGACCTTTTATACTCATAGGCAAGACTTGTTAAATCAGGACCTACCTTCCTTTGTAACCAAGTGGTAAAAGAATCAAGGACCCCCAGCTTCACACATGGAATCAAATATTTTTAAAACTTTCCTCAATTCACATATTGTAAACCTCAAAGAGGGAGCATACAAGTTATTGTAGGTGGTTTTATACCCCAGCTAGACTTCAGAGCTTTCAGATTTCCTTCCAGTTCTTCATATTGTTATTGAAAGTGTTCTATGACAAGCAAGGGCAGCACAGTGGCTTAGAGGCTAGCACTTCTGACTAGGGACTCCAGTTTGAACTGCATTATACACAGCAAAAAAGATCATTGGTGACATTCCTCTGGCTCAGCCAAGTACTGTTGAATCAAGAACTATGCAGACGCCATCAGATGGGAGGTCAGCCAGCAACAAGGAACACCTAGCAACCTCTGGAGGAACCCTTGTTGAGAATGGCTGATCTAGAGATTATTTTATATTTCTGCTAATACAAATAGCAGGAGATGATAGATTTGAGTGTGAAGAAAAAAGGCGTTGTCTCAATGATCCATAGTCAATATGTATTAAATATTTAAATTTAAACTGGATAATTCTGAGAAGTATCTAATTATTATTATACAGGATTTATAGAGCTCCAACAGTTTGCTCAGCACTTTACAATATAAAGGGAGACCATACAGTAACAATACAGTTCAATACAAGAGGGAGAGGAGGGCCCTGATCCTTGGAGCTTACAATCTAGGATCTAATGGGAATTTTGAGCAACATGGACTTATTCACCTTTCCAACCGCTCCATCTCCGCCACCCCCCACTGCCAATCCCTCCACTGGCTTCCGATTGCGCAACGGATCAAATTCAAAATCCTAACACTGACGTACAAAGCTGTCCACCATACTGCCCTGAACTACATCACTGACCTAATATCCAAGTACCGCCCAGCACGCACACTCCGCTCCTCACAAGACCTCCTTCTCTCTAGTTCCCTGGTCTCCTCCTCCCATGCCCGCCTCCAGGACTTCTCCAGGGTGTCACCCATCCTCTGGAACTCCCTGCCCCAACCCATCAGATTATCACATACTCTCCTCTCCTTTAGGCGCACCCTGAAAACCCATCTCTTCAGGGAAGCCTACCCCACCCCCTGCTAACCTGCCGACCTCCTCCACTCTTCCTACCACTCCATCCCCCACAGCTATCTCCTCCTGTGCCACCATCCCCTCCCTCCTAGATTGTAAGCTCGAAAGAGCAGGGCCCTCAATCCCCTCATGTTTTGCATTGTATTGGTATTGTTCTGTCACATGTTCTGTCTCCCATTGTAATGTACAGCGCTGAGCGAACTATTGGCGCTTTATAAATACTGTATAACAATAATAATTTACAGATTATGTTTTTACTGAGTTGTAAGTGATGTATAATGGGTCACTAACCAATGACAATATCTATGATCATTTGTCTTCTGATATTTTGTGTCTAAAACATTGCGTTGCTTGTTTACGAAGACAATGAACTCTTTATGTTCGTCAAAGCATTTTATTCCAATTATATACGGGCAAAATACATTTTTGAGTAAAAAAAAAAGTACAAATTCTGTAGCAGCATGTAAGAAAATGTTGCTTCTAAAGTCAAATTATTTATGTGATTATTCAGTTGGCCTTCAAGGGTGAAGGCAGATCACTTTTCTGGGATATTATAGGTTGAAGTGTTGTAATATAGAAGTACAAATTATTTATTGTTTTATCTTATTCTTTGTAGATGGTTCTCCACACGGAAGATTGCATTCTGGACACATCCTAAGGTTATAGAGGATCCGGGATTCTCGCGGTAAAGGGTGGAGTCTGCAGAGTGCCCCTCCCCCAGCTCTGACTGCAGAGGATTCCACTGTTCCTCATGTGTCGCGTGTGGTGGTTGTGACCAGCAAAATAACAATGGTGGACAGTGTGTTGGTCAGTTACTGCGTGGTAACTGGAAGCTTTATGTTTTTCCAGCTGCTATTTTCCTTCATAAGCCCTACCATCTCCTCCAGATGTTGCGGCACCTACAAACAGCTTACCGGGGCAAAACAGTGTGATTGGGACTCCAGGTAAACGTCAATGGAATAAATAGTGTTTCTATCTAACTTTCATATATAAAAGAGGATGGATTGGAACCCCTGTCTGGATTTTACTGCTATAGGGCAGCACAGTGGCTAAATGGTTAGCACTTCCGCCTGGCAGTACTAGAGTAGCTGGTTCGAATCCCAGCCACAGCTCCACATGCCTGGAGTTTGCATGTTTTCCCTGTGCCTGCGTGGGTTTCCTCTGGGTACTCCGGTTTCCTCCCACACTCCAAAGACATGCTGGTAGGTTCATTGGCTCCTGTCTAAATTGGCCCCAGTATGTGTGTATGTATGAATGTGAGTTCGAGACCTTAGATAGTACACCCCTTGAGGGTTAGGGACTGATGTGAATGTACAATATATATGTAAAGTGCTGCGTAAATTGACAGCGCTATACAAGTACCTGAAATAAATAATCAGGGGCTTCGCCAGGGAGATTTCCCCTCATTTACTGTCTTGGTGACTGTCTTTGTCTCCAGACAAAAAATGAGGAAAATCTGAAATAAGGACAGCAATAAAATGTGGACAGGGGTTCTGGCTTTCCTTTACTCTACTATGGGTTGCTTTTGGAGATTTATTCTTGCTTCTCCCCAGCCATTCCACAATGCAGTGCAGAGAGCTCAATGACCAATAGAGAGGTGGCAGAGCCTGGGGATCTGTCAGCATGTGGGGTGGGAAATAGCACCCGAATGAAGGATTCATATACAACCCAACAACAGGTCCTCCACAATGGAAAAGTCAGTTTTAGATTGGCCAGTTATCCTAAGTGTCTCAGCAGTAACCCAGTTCATGTTCTGTACCTCTTATATACAGTATATTACAGTAACCCGGCTCTGGAGTGTCTTATTCCCCTGTAATATCTTATTACAGTAACCCGGCTCCCGAGTGTCTTATTACCCCCGTAATATCTTATTACAGTAACCCGGCTCCTGAGTGTCTTATTCCCCCTGTAATATCTTATTACGGTAACCCGGCTCCCGAGTGTCTTATTCCCCCGTAATATCTTATTACGGTAACCCGGCTCCCGAGTGTCTTATTACCCCTGTAATATCTTATTACAGTAACCCGGCTCCCGAGTGTCTTATTCCCCCTGTAATATCTTATTACAGTAACCCGGCTCCCAAGTGTCTTATTCCCCTGTAATATCTTATTACAGTAACCCGGCTCCCGAGTGTCTTATTCCCCTGTAATATCTTATTACAGTAACCCGGCTCCCGAGTGTCTTATTACCCCTGTAATATCTTATTACAGTAACCCGGCTCCCGAGTGTCTTATTACCCTGTAATATCTTATTACAGTAACCCGGCTCCCGAGTGTCTTATTACCCTGTAATATCTTATTACAGTAACCCGGCTCCCGAGTGTCTTATTCCCCTGTAATATCTTATTACGGTAACCCGGCTCCCGAGTGTCTTATTACCCTGTAATATCTTATTACGGTAACCCGGCTCCCGAGTGTCTTATTACCCTGTAATATCTTATTACGGTAACCCGGCTCCTGAGTGTCTTATTCCCCCTGTAATATCTTATTACGGTAACCCGGCTCCCGAGTGTCTTATTCCCCTGTAATATCTTATTACAGTAACCCGGCTCCCGAGTGTCTTATTACCCTGTAATATCTTATTACGGTAACCCGGCTCCCGAGTGTCTTATTCCCCCTGTAATATCTTATTACGGTAACCCGGCTCCCGAGTGTCTTATTACCCTGTAATATCTTATTACGGTAACTCGACTCCCGAGTGTCTTATTACCCCTGTAATATCTTATTACGGTAACCCGGCTCCCGAGTGTCTTATTACCCCTGTAATATCTTATTACGGTAACCCAGCTCCCGAGTGTCTTATTCCCCCTGTAATATTTTATTACAGTAATCCAGCTTGGTGTATATTGTTGCAGTATTGTCTTCTGTCTTTCAGGGTTGTCTCCACAGTGCATGCATTGATTGTTGGATCTTTTTGTCTCTACATATTAGCTTACGATGATGCAGTGAACCTGGACCCCATATGGTGAATATTAATTTTGTGTTTTTATTTTTGCTTATAAAAGTTCTCTTTCTTTCTCATCACTTGTAATAGGTGTCATTACCTCTTCTTTGTATGTTTTCTGTCTATACTCATTCATTCCTCTTTTTGCCTTACTTTTCCATCGCCTATATGAAGTTCTTCCCACATCAGTTACTGCACACCAGGGCTGTGAATGTTATACCAGGGAATACATAGAACTGCAGCCTATAGTATCCAATATGTTTTCTACCCCAAGGAATCCTACAATCTTATTGTTTGCATCAACTAGACAAAGCATCCAGCAGCATAAAGGTTAAGTTATACCCATCCAGATATTACATTTATAGGAAAATATGGCATTTCATTCAAATGCCTAAAAGAACCCTCTTCATGTTTTCTGTCTAAGGAAATGCCTCTTTTTTTATAATGTTATAAACAGTAAACGGCCAAAAGTTTTGGAACCTAACTATCGCATTTATGAGTTTGATGTACATCTCATTCCAAAACTGTAGCGTTGATTTACTAAAATTGTAGAGCGCAAATTCTACTGCAGCTTTGCATGGTAGCCAATCGGCTTCTAACTTCAGCTTGCTCAATAAAGCTTTGACAAAAAACCTGGAAGCTGATTGCTTTCTATGAGATCTGCACCACATTTTGCACTCTTCAGTTTTAGTAAAGCAACCCCTATGTGTATTAATATGGAGTTTCTTTCAACCCCTGCTCCACCCCAACTTCTTCCCATGCAGATTTAACAATCTCCACTCTTCTTGGAAGATTAGGTCAGGGTACTGATGTTTGACGAGCAGACCTAGCATCCCGTAGATATACAGTAGGGTTAAGGTCTCTGTGGACACATGACCATTCCACCCCTATGAGCTTGTTAGAAATGCCATTTCAAAGTCATGGGCATTACACTGGAGTTGGTTCCCCACTGCTATAACAGCCTCCACTCTTCTGGGAAGGCTTTCCACAAGATTTTTAGGTGCCTTTTGGGATTTGTGCCTCTGCCAGGATAACATTCATGAAATCAGGTACTGATGTTCGATGAGAAGACCTGGCTCGCAAATGGCATTCCAATTCATCTCATAGGTATTCAGTAGGGTTGAGGTCTATGTAAACAACAATTGAACATTCCACCCCTGTGAGCTTGTTGGACATCCGATTCCAAAGTCATTGACATTAAACTGGAGTTGGTACCCCACAGCTATAACAGTCTGTACTCTTCTGGGAAGGGTTTCTTCAAGATTTTTAGGTGCCTGTGGGTAGTTTGTGCCTATTCAGCCAAGAGAACATTTGTGAAATCAGGTATTGCTGATGGAGAGAAGACCTGGTTCGTGATCAGTGTTCCAACTTATTCCGTAGGTGTTCAGTAGGGTTGAGGTCTATGTGGACACTTGAACATTCTACCCCTATGAGCTTGTTGGACATCCCATTCCAAAGTCATTGACATTAAACTGGAGTTGGTACCCCACAGCTATAACAGTCTGTACTCTTCTGGGAAGGGTTTCTTCAAGATTTTTAGGTGCCTGTGGGTAGTTTGTGCCATTCAGCCAAGAGAACATTTGTGAAATCAGGTATTGCTGATGGAGAGAAGACCTGGTTCGTGATCAGTGTTCCAACTTATTCCGTAGGTGTTCAGTAGGGTTGAGGTCGTGGCACTCGAGTTTCTCCATGCCAAACTCGTCAAACCATGTCTTTTTTGGAGCTGGCTTTGTGCACAAGGGCACAGTCATGCTGGAACAGAAAAGGGTCATCCCCAAACTGTTACCACATCGTTAGAATCGTACAGTTGTCTAAAATGTCTTTGTATGATGTGGCATTATCACTGCCCTTCCCTCAAAACACCTGAACTCGATGTGAAGGGAAGCCCATATAAGTGTGGCCATTAAGTATATCTTTTATTTCTTTTGTCATACATTTTTAATTTTTTTTCTCCTACTGTTTTGAAGTTTTCTAGTTGCTATGGTGGCCTGAGCTTCTGGTGACCCCCTTCAGGGGGATTTGAGTTTTATTCTGACACTGCCAGGTCATTATGTTTTCCTTTTAGTACCTAATCGACCGGCAAAAGTAAAGTTCAGAACAGGTCTGTCCGGGGGGGTTTAGGAACACAATGTAAACTGCCACTAGACAAATAAATACTGACCTCCATCTCTGATGTCCTTACCTGTGTTGTTAAAGTCAATGTGTCATGAGAAGTAGGCTGCCGTTGACTTCTGTGACCTCCTCTAATTGCATGGATCTTATGCAACAACAGCATTTTTGGAGCCACAGACATATAGCAAGTATGAGGATTGGGACTTTGGACTTCACTGCCTACACACTTTTTTCCAAGTTATTGGCTTAGAGAGTATTAACCATTTCCCAACCGGGCCATTTCTGACACTTGTCACATACATGTAAAAATCTAAATTATTTATAACCCCCAAACATTATATATATATTTTAGCAGCGGTCATATAGTATAAAATGATGGGTATTGCAATTTTTTTAAAATTAATAGTTTTGAAAAACACAATTGTTTTTGGAAAAAAAATACACTTAAATGAATTTTATTGTACACACACATACAATATAATACCCAATTGTTTTGTAAAATGTAAATGATGATGTTATACCAAATAAATAGATACCTAACATGTCACGCTGTAAAATTGCGTACGCCCGAGGAATTGAATGTATGAAGGTAAAAAACCTTCTGTGCCACACACACCCCCCCCTGCCCCCTCCCCTTGTGCCCCCTAATACTTACCTGAACCCCATTGCAATCTAGCTTTGTGCACGAGGGCCTCCACTGTCCTGGGGCTGTCCCTCCTCATTGGCTGAGACAGCAGCGGGAATCAATGGCTCCCACTGCTGTCAATCACAGCCAATAATCCAATGAGGAGAGAGGGGGCATGGCTGAGCTACCACTCAGTGTGCGAATGGACATGCAGAGCAGCGGCTTGGGAGCGAGCATGCTTGGGTGCCCTCATAGCAAGCTGCTTGCTCTGGGGGCACCCAGCAGCAAGGGGAGGCCAGGAGCACCAGTGGGGTCCCTGAGTAAAGGAGTATCGGGGTTGCTCTGTGCAAAACTTACAGAACATGTAAGTATAACATGTTTGTTATTTTTTTTTTTAAATAATTGCCTGTAATATCACTTTAAGGCTTTAATACCACTTTAAGAGCTACTCTGCTCCTGAGAAACCTTTTTTCTGACACAATTCCAGGATTGTCAGATTCCTGGCCGCTCACCAAGTGCTGTGGTTTCTTCTGCAGGCCTACATGTTACTAGTGAGCAAAGATTAGTGACGTGGTTGGTGGGAAAGGTAAGTACGGCCCACTACACCGGGGGCATTGGGCATTGTGGCCTCTATGCACAGTAAGGTTCGGAGGGGTGGCCAGCATATTTGGAGCTAGCTCACCTTTTCCTTTTTCACAAAAAAATGAACTTGGCCTTTAAAGAGACTGAAGATCAGCTGCATGTGTGGCTGGACAGGTCTCTATAATATCTCTTCTTTCCAGGGGAACCTTCATTTTATAGATTTGCGACTGGCCACATTACCTCTCTGCCCTGTAGACATAACAGGAAAAGGGAGGACATCCCTCCAAAGTGAGGGGAAATCCCCTCTTAACAACTTTTACAATTGGAAGATTTCCCCTCTTTTTCTGTTGTGGTGACAACATTTTGGATTTTATATCACTTTAAGTCTCGGTAACAGTGATCAGAAAAATAAATAGGTAAATCTTCATGGGAACAGAGATCACAATAAAAAATAACTGGCTAGCGTTCTAGTCTTTGTCATTCTATCCAAAACAAAGTAAGGGAGGGTTGCAACGCTGATCATTTCTGCCCATCTGTGTCTCATTTTGGATATTTCTCTTCACTTTCTTTCCCATAGCCGAACAGGAGGTGAAAGGAAATTCCTCCAAAGTGAGGGAATCCCAACTAGTGTTCCAATCCTGTTTTGGTGACAATCCAAAATGTTGGATTTTCTTTTGGTGATAACAGTAAACAGGACAATTCTAGATGGTGAATCCATCTAATGGGGGCACAGACCGCAATAAAACCTGACAGGGGTTCTAATCCACCTCCACTCTATTCAAAACTATTCAAAAACTGCCTTTAGTTATATGCTATTTTTTTAGAGACTCGGTACAAGTATTCTCCCCTTCTGAGTAACCCCTTGTCTCTTCCCCCTACCCACCTCTGAGCACCGTTCCTTGGTTCCACCCCACACCCACCTCTGAGCGCAGTTCCTTGGTTCCACCCCATACCCACCTCTGAGCGCAGTTCCTTGGTTCCACCCCACACCCACCTCTGAGCGCCGTTCCTTGGTTCTACCCCATACCCACCTCTCAGTACCACCCATTGTAGAGAAAACAAAACCAAGTATCAATTTGTGGTTCTAAGTAGTTTGTATGGAATTTGTTAACGATATCAAGAACAGCAGCAAAATGGATCCTCTGCAACCTGCAAAAATATCTCTCCCAGCAACAATAGATCCCCCAGCAACAGCCCCCCCCTACAACAAAAGACCAGTGGATCCCCTCAGAAACAATAGACCCACTGCAACAAAATACCCCACAGTAACAGATCTACTCCAGTAATATATATCAGGATCAATATAAATAGATCTCTCAGCAGCCACCATTAATAGATCCTCCAGCAGCCAGCAGCAAACAATTGACCCCCAGCAACATAAGAACCCTCCTTCCAGCAATAATAGATCCCTCCCTGAACAATAGATCACCCCCAGCAACAATAGAGCCCCCTAGCAGTCATGGACCCTTTAGCACATCCAAACACCCCTTGCCACTATATATATTCAGTGATGGAGGTGCCGAAACTGCGTTCCCCCCCCACGTTCCTGCTGAAACAAAACCCCCAGTTATATGTTAAAAAACTGTGTGCCCTCTGTAGCCGATCACATAATCTAGGTCTGTATTAGAAAATTGGCGTTGGAGATTGAAAAGGAGAATCCATTGGTTGCTTTGGATTATAATAGACATTTCCATATTTTATA